ATAATAATAGCTAATGACCTACAGTTTTCAGCAATTAAAAGAGGAGAATACTGGAAGTCTTTTTTTTGTTGGATACTGTATATGACAAAGTTACTTTAAAACCCATCATCTTCGCAAAACATTGAAAAAACGTATGCAAATGTTGTTCTATCTCAAGGAAATTTTGAAAAAAGGTCAAGAAATTTGTTAAAAACCAACAGAATTCTATAGAATTTGACCGAATAAATACGCGATTCCATTTGCTCAACATTGAGATATGAGAAGATAATCACTTAAATCATGTCTTGAACTATAGATCTGAAGTCCTCCCAGCTGAAGAACATGTCAGAATCAAAATTACATTGAAATGGAACACTGTTTTCGTTTATGGTGGATTTTAAGATAATTTTGTCTTATATAGTATGAGACAAAAGGACATTCGGAATTCTCGTTTTTCGATTGCTGAAAATCGCTGATCCATAGCTGTTGCCGTTGTCGAATTATTAAGGTTACACCCATCTCACTTTAACTCTAATGTGTACATTACTTATTCTTTGGTCAGTTTCGACAATAAAATAAAGAAAAAAGATTTGTAAAGTTTTCATGGATATTTTAATCAACTTTATTTTGAAGTATTGACTTATATTTGCTTATAAGATTTGTTTTTGTCTTCTTAACTATATTCAAATATTTTGTTCAATAATTTAGATGAATCATAATCTGAATATCAACTGTTGGTCTTTGGAAGGAAAAAACGATTGATTATTGAATTGATGAAAATTGTCTTTGTGACAAATTATTATTTATAATATTTCTTTTCGTTCAAATAAACAATTATTTTCTATCCGAAGATTAAAAACATCTACTAGTACTCATATAAAAGATAGGTTAATTATTAAGTTCTCCTCATAAAAAAGTCCTTTTCAATTCGAATTATCAAAATTAGGATAGATGCATGGAAGGATAGTTTGAGGTCGAATCTTTCACAAACAATATGATTTTTTTAATTTGGGATGCCCTTTTTTCTGGAAGTTTTCAAGGATGCCCTTCACCTTTTGCTTGAAAAATATGGTTTTTTTTCATAAAAAAAAACAAGAAATCCTTGTCTTTTCTCTGTTTATGTTTTTCTCATCGTACATCCCAGAATTCTCGAAGGAACTTCGTTGTAATCAATTGTTTATCTTTTTGTTTTAAATAGCATGTGAAGCTGCAGAGCTCATTTCTTTTTTGAATTAAGCTTTTTATTGTTATATAAAAAAGAATTTCTATAAATAGGCGACTATTTTTCAAGGAATTGCACTTTGGACCCTGAAGAGTTAAACTTTTTTGTCTCCGAAAATTTTTTGACTAACATATATACTTCTTTTAATGATACTCATTAGTGAGAATGTTTCTCTAATATTTTTTTTCTTGAAACTTATGAATCAATAAAATAGTATGTCTTTGTGCATTACTTAACATATGAAGAATAAACCTGTTACTATGTAAGAGTAAAAAGAAAGCTTGACTGTTTTACTGATGTAATTATGATATTGACTCTGAAAACCATTCTTCACAAGTACTCCAACTTCGAAGAAATTTCTTTTAATGACTCCGATCCAGGACTCTAATTAAACTTGTCATACGCTTTCTCCATGTAAAAACTAAAAATAAAAAAAAAAAATCTGTCAGACTTCAGCGTCTGACATGTTCTTTCAAATAAAAAAAAATTAAATATATAGAATGAAGCCCCATAGAATTTTCGGTTGTCAAATGATTTATTTTTTGTTCGTTGTTTGTTGAATATCTCCAGAAAATATCATTGTAAATAACTGAAAATTTCAACATAATCTCTCTACTATAGTTGCAACATATTCTGAAAATGTCATGCGACTTGAATGTACTTGGCCCAGAATCGATTTACGAGGGTAACAAGATCTTAATCAGATAACAAATAATGAGTCATTTCTTTTTATCTTTAAAATTCAATTGCCGGCGTAAAAAAAGAAAAGGATTTATATAAAAATGATGCACACATTAATCGGTAAAATTAGAACACAGAAAAAAATTGAATATAAGATTTTTCATATTAGCTTTGACGAGAAAATACACCAATACGATCAGTCATAGCAACAAATAAATGGCCTTTCTTATTTACTGCTAATGATTCTGGATATTCTATACCACCTGTTATTAATTGTTGAAATTCACCATTTTCATGAAAAAGTACCAAACGATCATTATGAGAATCAGCAATAAGTAAATGACTTGAATCAGGAAATGCAGTTATACCACGAGGACTTGAAAGTGCTTGAGGAAAAACGGATGATGTTTCACTACCAAAACGTTGTACATATATTCCATCAAGTGTAAATTTATGAACACATGAACCTAAATGATTATAAAAATTTAAAAAAAAAACAAAATTCATCAAGTTAATAAACCTTGTGGATCTGTAACATAAATATGTCCATTTGTTGCTGTACAATATGCAAGTGAACTAAATAAATTTTTGTCTCCAAAAAATCTTATAATAGCTCCACTTTTTGGATCATAAACTTTTATTTGTCGATTAGCTTGATCACATACATAAATTGAATCATTTTCATCGACACAAATACCTTGATAATTTGTTAAGCCAGCTTGAATGTCATCACAAGCAATTGTACGTGTTAAACGTAGATCACTACTTAATATTAATACTTGTAATTCATCACTCATTAATACTTGATCATTACTCATAACAGCTATACCATTTTTTGTTCCATAATGACTTACAATTTTAGCCAATTTATTATCTTCTGTAAAAGCAACAACACGTTCATTTTTTGAATCAGCAATAAATAATAAACCATCCGATGGACGATAAGCAATACCACGAGGTTGATTTAAAAATGATTTACCAAATTCAAGCGAACCAAGTGTATTGATTAATGAGAAAGTTATTTGAGATGTACTAGCCATCTGTAAAGGAAAACCTAAGAATAGAACTAACAATCTATAATTAATGTTTCTGCTTTCCCAGTTTATTTTTCTATCTGAGATGCTTTCTGGAATCTTTAACATATTTCTTTTATCGGAATCAGACAACCTTAGACAAGGTCAAAATCTTCTCTTAGCGATAATTATATTGAGTTATAAACAAAGAAGAAAATTTATATTATCATAACTAATCTTTTTATGTCCAAAAAAAAAAATAAATCAATTTATTTTTTGTTATCTTGTACCTTGTAGTAAACAAATTTAAAATATTGTATAATTAAAAGTCAATAAGAATGATTGATTGCACAATCAAATCTACTTCACAATTGTATGTTTGCGATCTTATGCTTGAAGAATAATCGACGCTTATATGTTATGGTAAAGATGAAACTGAAGAAATGCAGTTGGTATTGTGTCAATGCAATAAACTGAATGAGAAAATTATGTCTATCTCTATATAATGCGATTTTTCTATCGTTTCTTCAGCATGTGAGTCGGCGTATGAAATGCGTCATTATATAAACAGAAGGTCTGGCGAAAAAAAAGTACCAGAAAAACTATAGACAGTAATTATTATGCTCCTTTGACGTCCTTGAGCAAACAAACAAGATACTTTCTCTTTTAATCATTTAGATATAGAAAGCAGTAGAATATACTTAAGAAGCATATAAGAAATGAATAAATTTGATCTAATTTAGTAATTCAATTTGTAGGTGAGAGTAAAACCATAATCTATCTTTGACTCATATACAAGAAAAAAAAGATCGTCAATCTAGAGAAAAGATTGCATTCATGTGTATTCTATTTCTACGTCATTTTCCATCAAACATCAACAATTTTATGATGTGTATGTTGATGGATGTAAGAACAAATCGAATACATGAAAGAAGTGTTATCTATTTAGATGTCTGACAAATCAATCAGAAAAGCTGAGAAAATTATATTTTGAGCTTGTTTCGTGCTAAAAAAATCTTTTCACTACTTTGAGTACAGTTCGACTAAGAAAAAATAATAAAATAATAATATTAAAAATTAGTTTCATTAAATAGATATCATTTTTCATATGCATTATATAATATATCATCTAGTTTGCTTAAAATATTAGAATAATTAACTCAAGGATATCAACGATAGAAAAAAAATTTTATATGTATATGTATATAAACGATATAAAATCGTCGAAATAAGGCTGCTCTTGTTATTTTCGGTCTTTTATGTTGTTTTCCTAAACCATGGAATTTTTGTTGGATCAAATATAACGTAATAGCCAAAATAAATCATAAGACCAATAGAATATCTACAGACATAGATCTATAAATTTGTTTCACACGTGCACATGTGACGAGTACCATGACGAGTCGAACAGCATATAACGATGTTGCAAATTCATCAAATGACGTCCATGGTAATGATTGATATTCTTGTACTCAAACTAAAATGTTATGATACTTGCTTTTTTCTCGATAGAACAATATATGAAGATCCAAGTCAATAGAATATTGAGTTCTTTTCAAACTGATTTCCATTATTATTAAATTATTATTTCGTCTTTGCCGGATCGAAAACAGAAGAATGTTCGACCCGAAAAGTTTCTCATTTTTCTTGTTTTCTTTTTTTTTTCTTAATTTTTATTTGAGACCTTTCATTTTATTTGTCACTGTGAAAATGGACAGAAGAAAAACCACAAAAATGTGAGCAATAAAAAGCAAAGAACATGATAATTTAAAACAAAAAGAAAAAAAATTCTTGATAAATAATAGATCATATTTTTTGCATGGACGTGTTTATACTACTTAATTCAGATCATTCTGATTTATCATCACCACAAAAAAGAAAAAGCTTTACAAAAAAAAAATGCATTCATTTATATGAGATTAAAATCCAATAAGATTCAATGGAATGTGAGAAAAAAAACTTACAATGAAATAATTCTTCAATTCAAGAAAAAAAGAAATTTGTTATCAGTTCATGGAAATCATTTCAAAAACAAATTATATAAAATACTTTCATCATCAGAAAAGAATTGAAATCGATCTAATTTTCTTTTAATAAATTGATTATTAAGCATTTCCTGGTGATGTATTTGTTGCGTATTGTTCTGCGCGTGGAGTGCTGCGAAGTTCAAGAAATTGGTAAATTGCATCAGCTACATAAGTACAAAAAGCTGCAAAGCCAAAGAACTATAAAAACAAAAACAGAAAGATTTGTTTTTTTTTCTTATCATCTTTTTTCAATTAATGATTTACCGCTGCAGCGCCATAAACACCACTGTCTTTTGCAGCAGTTGCAATAACAATACTTGAAATGAAATAAAACAAAGCAATAAATGTACACCAAGCAATTTCCTAAATAGAATCATATGGAAAATTTTTAATAATTATTTCAATAACTTACAATTATATACCAATGTCGTTTCTGACACAAGGCTTTTAGATTTGATATACATATAAGAAATATTACTATTGTTATAATGAGTGCGAGTATGGTAACAAACAAAAAAAAACCTCGACGTCCGTTACCCTCGTTAAGACTTGGCCCAGCACCACATAAAATTACCGCAACTATATCACAAACCTAAATATTATAATAAACATTATTTCTTTTTTATTTTAAATTATAACTATATTTACCAATTCAATGATTTTGAGTACAATAGACACTCGTGTCATATTTTGAAATCCACAAGAAATTACGGATGTTAAGTTGCCCATGTTTGGTATGCTTTGATTCAAATTTTCAAATCTATAAAACTAGATGAATAAAATATTAAATTTGAGACTAACAAAACAACAACAAAAAAAAAAGAAACAAAGAGCACGTTGATTACAAGAGGTTATACATAGAACGTCCATATCCACCATCCTCCATTTTCTTTCGTCAAAAGTCAATACGATGATGAAGTATAGTATGTGTTCTATTTGACAAGCGATCGTTAAAGAAGAAACCATGAACGAGAAAAAAAAACGGGGCTAATGGCACGACCCTCTCAATAGGGTAACTAGTAGCCACAAAATATATCCGACTATTGAACAAAGGCTGACCGAGCTTGTCAATAGAGAACAATCTCACGTTATCTTGAATAAATAGAACTAATAATGAATAGTCTCGTTCATTGACATAAAAAAAGAAAAATAACGGATTTATATTGGAAGGAAGAGAGAGAATAAAAAAAAGAAAGAAATAAACTTTTTTTTTTTTTTTTACATCGAATGATTTTTTTTCTTTTCCTTCCAGAATAATATTTTTATTTTTTTTTTAATATGATCAAAGTAAACAAACGCCCCTTGATAAGAAGTACTAAAAAAAAGAAGAGAAAAAAGTTATTTAAATTCTAATCAACTATTACTTGTTTCTATTATAGGACAACAGAAAGAAACATGATCTGATTGAAATGAATCATTAATTTTTAAAAAATTCAATTGGTTTATATCAACCAATAAGATTTCGTCGTTCCACCATAATAAACAATTCTTTGCCTTTATTGTTAGGATTATTTCATACTTTTTTTTTGTTATTACTATTGTTATTTTTCTTCCTTTTTTTTTAACCAAATGATCTTATTCTTCTACTGTATTTTGTGTTCTACGTATAATGAATTAACAATTAAATAAAGGTTTTTGTTGTTTCTTCTTCTCTTTTGTTTATTTAACGGATCACTATATGTTGACAAGGCCGAAATGTTTCCGTGAGTGCATAGCGACGGACGGACAATCGAACGTAGCATAACAATGCTGTCCGTCTTATTAAGAAAGCAAAAAAAAAATGTTCAGTTCATGTATGTATCCCTTATAACGACGTACATTTCATGAATAAACCAATTTGCAGTCATCGTCGTCATTCGTGTCTTTCCATTTTACGCATCAAGAATTCGATCAGCTGATTTATTCCTTGCTGACTCATTCAACGTTATTAATAATGTGAGATGGAGAAGAAAAAAAAAAGAACAGATTTACTAAGATTACATGCGAAATAAATTTCTCTTGAAAAAAAAATATCAACGGAATACATTTTTTCTTTTAGCATTATATTCGAATATATTCATATATATTTTTTAATTCTTCGATCCCCAAAATCAATCGATGGCCGAATCGACAATTGTTCTTCGAAGTCCCGTTAAACCTGTAACATCATCAATTCGATGTTCATCACCAAATACATCATTAAATTCACCTACACATAATGGTACTGTTATTATTCTCAAAGATAATAATAATAATGATCAACAACGACAACAACAATCGTCTACAACAATTAAAAATTCAACAGATGATCAGTTATCATTTCCATCGTATGGAAAAAAAAAGAACTTTTATGAAAATTAAATTCAATTTTGTTGGATATTTATTTTTTTCTAGTCTAAAAACTGTTCAATCTAAACTTTATTATGCTGGTCATACTGGATTATATAATTTGGGTAATACATGTTATGTTAATTGTGTACTTCAATTACTTAGGTTTGACAAAAAAAAAAAACATTAGTTTAATTTAAATTTAAAACCTAATATTTCTTTAGTCATGTACCACAATTTTGTGACGCAATTTGTTCAATGAGTTTTGAAAGTCTTGGTTTAGAACAACCATCTGATGTGCCAATGGTATGTATTTTATAAATTAATTTTTGATAGAAATACTAAAAGTTTTCGAATTGTAATTAAATAAAACATTAAAAAAAAAAACTTTTCCCAGGTTGCTTCATCACATAATCCAACACGTTTAAAAGGTGGTGGTCGTGGTTTACTTAAAGCACTTGAATCTCAACCACGCCGAGTACCATGGTAATGATAGATTTATTTATTTCGATAATATTTTATGGAGTTTCTTTTTTCTTGTGAAGTTATCTTGCATATGAATTACATGGAACATTTAATATAATTTGGTCGGGTAAATGTATGGTTTATTCACCATTAAATATGATTGCTGCTGTTCGACGTTTATTACCTAGTTTTGAACCATGTGCAATGGAAGATGCACAAGAATTTCTTGAGTAAAATGATATAAAATAAATTTTTAGAATAAATAAATAAATAAATATATATATATATTCAATGTTTTCTATAGAGCACTATTAGCTGCTGTGACAGATGAAATAAAAACGAACAATTTAGCGGATACAAATATAATTAATGATCTATTAGGTTTCTCTTCGGAAAGTCAGGTAGACTTTAATTTAAAAAAAAAGAAAAAAAAAAGAAATCTATGTTAATTTTTTTTTCGAAATTAGATATTATGTGAACAATGTCATCGTTTATCAGTCACAAAAACAGATGAAACATTTATCACATTAACATTCTCAGAAAAAATGCTTTGTGATGTAAGGGGATCTAGTCGTCGGCGTTCATGCCATCTTACAGGTTTGTTAATATTAATATGAATATAATTAATTGAATATGGTGTTTAGAAATGCTTGCTCATTTTTATCAATGGGAAGCTTTATCCACACCATTTCATTGTTCAAATTGTACTGGTAAAGATTTCAAAATCTAATTTATTTTTTCTCTTTTCAAAATTTTCTTTTTATAATAATTTAGTTCGAAGTCCATCAAAAGAAGGTACAAAAGCACAAAAACGTTTACTAATATCCAAACTTCCACAAGTATTACATGTTGTTTTACGTCGATTCCGTTCATTACCGCAAACACCTTTACGACGACCGACATCTCGTCAAGCACGTCAATTATCACATAAAATAACTTTACATGTTAACTTCGATGAATATCTTGATATGGCACCATATTGTACACAATCAACACTTAACACATTATCATCGACATGTTCAAAACAAAATGATAATTCAACAAATGAATGTTTATATCGTTTACGTGGTGTTATTGTACATTATGGTAAAAGTATTAATACGGGACATTTCGTTGCTTTTGTTCATAATGATGTTCTTGGTAAAAAAAAAAATTTATTTCATATGTGAAAAACTATTATTAAAATTATTATTATTATATAAAAAAAAATAGGTGAATGGCTTCGTTGTGATGATCATATGATTGAACAAACAACATTTGAATCTGTCAAAACAGCGGATGCGTATATACTTGTTTATAGTCGATGTATAACAAATACAGTTTCATCTTCTATTCTAGCAAATCCATCAGGTTCGAAACAAAAAAAAATAATAAAAAATAAAAATTTTAATATTTTCCTATTTATTATATAGTCACATCAATGACATGTCAATTAACTAAACGGAAACGAGCTATATCAGTTGATAACTTAAATGAACAGAAAGATGAGTTATTAATATCTGAAAATACGAATGAAATGAGTAAATTAGTATTAAAGATATTTTTTCTAATCAATTAATTTTTGTAATGCTATAGATATAAAACAAGATAGATCAGATCAAGACAATGATGTAACAAAACATTTGAAACTTTTCTGTCTTAATTTGGGTAAATAAAAGAATAAAAACTTTCATTATGTATTTATTACGAATAAAATTTTTATTATTTTTTTTAGATCCATTAGCAAGTGGTCTTCGTCGTCGAGCACATTCACTTAATTTTGCTATTCGTAGTAGTCAACCTTCAATTGATAATACACGACAAAACACTTTAACATTGCCTACAGCTAAACGTCGACGCATAGAATCGATGAATAATCTTTCTCTATCAGAAAATAATTCGTCGCAACGTGAGCAAATATTTATTGTTTTGTCTAAATTAAAATAAGTTATTATTTAGATATAATGTCAGGATCGACATTATTATCACAACAAGTTATTCAAACAAGAAATAAAACTTCATCAACAATAAATAATAATGATTCATCATTAATTCCACAAAAAACAAAAAAACCTACAAAAAGACGTCGTCGAACTGATCCTTATATGCGTATGTACTAAAATAAATAAATTTATTTATTTATTTTTATTATTTTTAGGCAAACGACGAATGACAAAAGCATCCAATAGAAAAAATCGACATAAAATCGATGTATCGAATCTCGTATCTCTTCCATCAACTGATCAAACAATATCAACAGAATCTCTTTTACCATCTGGACGTTCACCATTATCATTCACTTATGAAAATTCCAATGATTCAAATATACCAGCCACAAAGTAAATATAACAGTAATTGCAAACAAGTCTTGCTGTCAGGCAAAAAAAAGTATCTAAATTTGAATCCTTTTGTCTCATAATTTGGCTACAAATAGAGTATGTTGAACTCTGATCGCAAGGACTAATCAGGACTTGATCGGTCTTCATACGGAGGAGCTAGAAGGTCAACATAGATTTCATCTTCAGACGAGAATATCTCAACATAGAAAATGAATCTCGTAATGTTGAACTCTTCATTTGATAGCTCAGTGCTGTCTGTATCCTCAATAAAATTTCCATGTCAAACAGTTTTAGCTTGTCTAATTTATGAAGTATTCTTTAGATAATCTCCGCATTAGAGTTGATGGAAATTGTCGAAAAGTTACCCGTATCTTTGGCTAATTTTAACCATTTGCTTTGAAATTTTCTCCAATAAGTGTCCTGTTCTAATCAATTTTTTCTTGAAAACTTCATGATAACATTTATTAATGGAGAAAAGATTCGTTCTGAAACCGTCACAGATAATGAAGGCTTCTCTGTCCCTGAAGATTAAAGTGGATTAGAATATTTTTTTTGTGACACAATAAAGACATGCAAATCTTTATTTGTTAATAAAAA